CTATTATTGCACCATTATTTAAGCCACAGCAACTATTTGCAAGTGTGCCAGCTTTCAACATTATTCTATTGTACTTCACAATTTTATATTGTGGATTATTGCAATAAGGTATAAGTGGACCATCATAATGCAACGACATTAATGTCGGATGTATCAGAATGGAGTTTGATGAAATAGTTGATGATGAATCTGAGTTTATTTCTTTTTTTTTATATCTGTGTATTACTTGTTGCAAAGGTTTCTCGGCTTTTCTAATATATTTCTTCAGTATTTTCAGGTAGTTTTCAAATTTAAATGCGTTGAAATTATCAATAGGTCCAAATTTTTTCACATCATTAACAAGATGAATGAGGCTATGAACATTGTGCGAAACGTTTTCAATGTCATACAGTTTCGTAAATATTTTGACAAAATAAAGAATAAGATCTTGTGCATAGCTGAGATATTCATGCAGATCTTGTGAAGACAAAATCCTGATAATCACAAACAATGTTAAGAAATTGGTATATATATTCTTTTTTAATATAGATTTGAACGCCAAAGGACCTGTGTATAATAATATTTATCTATATTCTGTTGCCGTCCATAATTTAACACAGTCCAGTTTTCGTGACTTTCTAGCAAATTCTATAGGTATGTAACACTTGAACTGTGTTACTAGGCGTGTAGAAATTTCGTCAACAGCTCTGTGTTGCAGCCGATAATGCAATTTTCCATAAAGCCATAAATTTAATAATTTTCTCATTATTCCTAAACATATTAAATGCATATAATCAAACGGAACATTAGACACAGGTTTAAAGCCAGGTATATTTAATAGACTGCACGTTGTGCCTGGTTTGTGATAACTATCATCAACTTTTTGTATAAAATCGTCATCTGACCTAAGCGGAGCGTCGATTTGTGGGAAACACATTCGTTTTTCTAAATATTCCCCTTCCGTTGTACACTTGGTACAACTTGAATATCCACAATGTCCTTTGACACATAGGACAAATGCTTTAGCTAGTGCATCACAAATTAATGTTTCAATTCTACATGGTATGTTTTGTTAACATGCACTCTCTTTTCACATATCTCTTTTGCCTCTTTAACAAAATCTTTCAAGAAATCATTGGCATTTGCCGGTTTTTCATTGCCATGATATATTCCAATAACAAAAACATTATCATATGGAAGGATCGATCCTAATATGGGCCAAAATTGTTGCTGTGACGATTTTGTTAATGGTAACCCATCAACATTGACAATAATTTTTACGCAATCAATATTATCTTTTACGGACGTTAGTATCTTTATTATAGAATTTAGTAGACCAAAATGATAATAGATATCTGCTGCTACTGTACGTATCTCTTGCTTTCGTGGTGTTTTTAATAACGATTTTGCATGCAATGATAACGTAGAAAAACAAGAATGTTGTCTCAATATTTGTAGTAATAATATTGTAGCAGTATGCGAAATTTGATGTTTTATACCCACATAACAAGATCATATTTAAAATCAGTATCTGTTATATTTGCATTTTCAGATATTAAAGATATTGATTCTTCGGATAAAATAGATAGTTGTGAATCTGATGTATAATTGTTTGATTGTTTGCATTTATCATAATTTCTCTTTAATACAGATATATCATTAATATTTAGATTTACTTCATGAACAAAATCATTGTTAGAAACGTTTTCATTGGATTGATCAGATTTCATCGTGAAAACATTTTCCGAATATCTTATATGTGTGTCATGAATATTATCAGTATTTATGGTAGTATTAAAAGCATTGAAAATCAAATCAGATTCCAGTTTGCACAATTTTCTTAAATAATTTTGTGACATACACGAAATGTCTTTCCACGGTCGCTTTTGACTCATTTCAAATCTATTAAAAAATGTTAACTGGTTAAAAAATGATATTATCAAATTATTAATCACGAATTTTATCAGTGATTATTATCAATATTATTAAAATAAATTATTAATATAAAATGATATTATTATATTATCATTATCAAATTATTATAATGCAAATAAAANTTTAAGAAAAAGAGCGCATTTGCAAAATTATCAGACAAATAAAAGAAATTAAAGATATGTTCTACTTGAGAACATTTATAGTTGCCTTGTTTAACAACAAAGCAACAATTAATGGTGACAATTATATTCTGTGATAATTTTATTATATGTTACAGTTGTCATATATTTGTAACGTAAATAGTTACATGTTCTATAAAGCCATACAGTTCTAAATGAAAATAAAAACTGTTTTCAGACTCCTTTAGAATTTCTTCTGTAACCATGTTTTTTGTTTCTATTTTCTCAAAAAGTCTTTATAAGAAAGTGAAATACATCATATAATGTATAGTATCTCTGTTGTAATTTATTTATAAAATTTCATTTTTATACTGTTTAATTGCAATAATATTCTTACATTTCAAACAAAATTGTACCTTTGAAGTATGCTTAGCACAACACATACAAACTTTTACTGTCTTTATGTANAATGTTACATATATATTTTCTTTAAGACAAACATTTAATATACTTATAATTTCTTTCAAATTTTAAAATCTTTAAAAATATTCTATTAAATATTCTTTTTGTTACATGATTAATAATTTCATANTTTTTCTTCAATATTTAGTGTTAATATTATTTGAATCAGTATTATAGCATATTTAATAATAATAGCTTTTTTTTAATTATTTCATAGTAGTTAAAGTATTTAAGAATAGTAGTATATTTGAAATATTACATTACTTTTTTTATTCAAATTTGCGTCTTATTAAATATATTCCAAGATACACTTTACTTATTTACTCAATGACAATTTATAAACAAAAACAAATTGGAAGATTATTGCAAAAAGTACATTGGTATATAAATGTACACATTGTTATATACATTATATATAGATATTAATTATATATACTCACAAAAAATTTAAAATAACAAAAAGTAGTCAAAACATTCTGTATAGAAAATTTCATTCTCAAGTACAATGTATCTCCATTAAAATACATATATAGACATTTTACAA